CGCGTGGACCACGTGTGGACGGCGGCATGTCGCGCGTAACCCTTCGGTCAGTGGCGTGACAAGCATATTTCAAACCCTAAGCAAAGTATTTGAACGATGACCCAGCACTTCCTCCTCCCCTTACTAAATAACATACGTGCATGTAACTATTCAATTTCACTATTTATAGGAATTTTTTCATAATTCCTTTCAAACACCTAACTTGTCTACCACAATATGGACATAGCATGCGCTTATTAAATTATTTTTCAATGCACGCTACTAGCCAATTAATTTAATTATTAAAATAAAATATGTTCAAAAATACATGAGCCAAGAGAATGGGCCCATTTCTTGATGGGTTTCTAGGACTAAGCCATTAGTCGTTCACCACGCCACTGCCTGCGAGACGTGCGCGAAGGGGACCCATGCATCACTCGATAGATCGGAAGATCAGAGCACTGCGATGGTGGTGAACCGTCAAACTTTAACTTTAACTAGAGTTGGCGGTATTTTCGGTATACCGGTGAGTCACCGGTATTTCGACCTACCGGTATTTATAAATATCGGCATCTTACACTCACCGGTATACCGATCTTTCGGTATTTACCGTTTCATCGGTAAATATATGTATATATATATATATGTGAGTGTGTAAAAATAAATTATATTAACAATAGCGCCCGTAAATATTGCGACGTGTTCACTTATAATGTACGGACCTGGTTTTGAATCGTTTTTTTTTATTCTGCACAAAAAAAAAAAAAACATTAGAAAAATGTTATTTCGTTACAAACCGAGTCGAAAGCTGTTGCTGTTGTTTCAGAAACTTTATTTTACCTCACTTTTGAAAGTACCAAAATGCAAATATTATTATTTAATTATAAAACAACAATGTAAAATCGAAGAGTTAAATATAACCGTTTTTTAATAAAACTTTCACCGTTTCATAATTTTTTTTTTTTTTTATCCACGAGAGTTCGATTGTATTATGTACGTGTAAAACGTGTATGAAGATCGAACCACTTCTGATGGCTTTTACGCAGTGTTAAATATGCAAGGATTCATTAGGGTTTTTATTGAAAAATGAATAATAATCCGATTTCTGCATACCAAGAAGCGAAAAGTATTTTCAACACTTACTACCGGTATGAAATTTGTATGAAAACAAATATTCGACTTGTGAACACTCAGGTAAATCAAACTATCCTCTAACTCTAACGCTGTGTCCTAAATGAATCCGTGTGTTGCGGCTATACGTTCGCCTGCAACTCAATGCACGCAACGCAACGTATTGTTGGCAAAATTGACGTCGATGAATTCATATATGCAAAATGCTGTGAACTTATAAAATAACAATACAGTCGAAAAGATGCCGTTAACCAACGAATAATGTAAAATGTTAATTGTTCTATTGCTTTAGCTAGTATTCACTATGTATTATAACTTAAATTTAAATTACTTGATACTCCTAGTTCTTTGGATACAGAATTTCACTGCCTGTCTGTCACTATGCGATCATTGTATTTAGGCTTCCTTTTATCCCAAAGTTACGGTCTTTTTTGTACTTAAAAAATAAAACGTTCCATTTTGTAATTAATACAAAAATTCAAATTCAAATATAGGAACGTATAAAAATTTCGTCTTGACCGCATAACGTTGCGTTAGAAAATAGAATAAGTTCTATTTTGTTACGACCATGTTACCACCAGGTTAGGTTAGTCGGGATGACGAAAATATACAATATTCGATAACATCATAATTATATATATAACAATATTAATATATTCGAATTAGAAATATACAACTTGATATGATGTTGTGGGTAAAACCCTTCGTGGTAATTCTTATAATTTATTATTATACAGCCCCAACGTACCCAACACACCAATAAATGCGCGTTTTTCGATTTACTTTGTTCATCATACTATTATGGTCATTATAGGCATAATGAAAATGTTAAATATAATCTTATTTTATAGATACTTTATAAAGATTTACCAACTCAACACAAACCCATGGTCCGATAATCACTAAAGGCGTGATTGGTGCCATTTGTATCATAGTTATTACTATAGTCTATAACAGCGTTTCCCAAACTGTGGTCCGCATGTATACCGGAGGGGGTCCGCAAACATAAATTTAAAACATACAAAGTATTATTATTTATTATTATTTTTTAATTTTTATTGGTACTAATGGGTTCATGATCATTTTTATTATCTCTAAGGGGTCCGACAGAAAAACACTTTGGGAAACGCTGGTCTATAATAATATAATGTACTAAGCAAATTGAAACGGGTATTTCAAATTATGTTTATAATTATTAGTTTATATTATAAATTATTTCGTTAATTTTAAGACCGCAAGAAAACGTTATATAGATATATTTTGGTTTTTTATTTTTTACTTAACATGGTTATTACTCATTATAAACTGAATTACGCATGGAAGTTAAATATTCACCAAAATAACAAAATTTCATTGCACGCCGATATAACGTTAATTTGGTTCGTGTATAACGACATAAAAAATATTCACTCAGCGTTATTCGATTTTTAACTGAAAAGTCGCAAACGAATTTATACAGGTGCACTATGTACGAACAATAGAAAACATATAAACTAACATAACAACCTTAGCCTATGGAGATAAATTTGCGATAAATTACCTGAACGAGTAATTACTATGATAACGCGTTACGCTAAGCAAAATTGCCGAAAATCAATAAAGATATTACGTGAATAATTTTAAATCAACCATCAATCTGTTCAATTTGCATTTAATTTTTTTTAAAAACGTAGATCCATCGTGCACAGTAATAAAACGCTACTTGCGGTCGTAATAAACATTTATGTGTACTTCGTAATTACTTCATAACTGTTATAATTAAAAACAATATGTATATAATATATTAATGTTGATTGAAAATGTTACGTTATACATAATATTTCTCACGTACATAACACCGTGACGGGTTTTAGTCGATTGTAAAAGTGTAAATAAATGTTTAATTAATAGTTTTAATGTACACGATCTAAGAATCATGTTCGTTATACATTAGTTATACACTAAAATAACGATCGTGAGTTCGTGACAGACATTTTGTAGTAAAATTTAAACATCAACGATCAATGATCATCGCGTTCGCAGGCGGATTAGAAGCAATGTGTATCCGTTCTTCTAGAAAAAAAATTGCGTTCATCCACTTCGCAACTTGTCACTACTCCTTTGTAGTTTTATATTATATATAAATAAATGTATATGGGTGTATGTGTGTAGGTCTACATTTTTGAGCAGTACAAAAATATTACATGATTTCTCTTAGATGTAGTAAATAGTTGGTATTACACATTATGTGAGTAAAATTTGACGTATCAACATTGTTGGTTTGTGATTTATTACGTAATACCGAAAAAAGATTTTGATTTTCATACTTTATTGAATATCGCCTGATATTGTGTAACGGAAATAAACGTTTAATCTTTAGATCTCTGTTCTACGAGTTCGGTAAAGTGTACAGGCACCCTCGAGAAAAATGTAAATTTACTTCTGTAGTTTTTTAGTTAACATATGTAAATACTTTTGAAATTACGGACAACATAAGCAATCAATGGTAAACGATTGAATCAACAAGGTTAACTTATAATGTACTGGTGTGAAGTTATTCATTTTAAATTAATTTTTTTAACCATCAATTTTAATTGGACGTAAATTATCAATTATTCAATAACAATTATTGCGTTATGTTAATGATTTTATCGATTACGATGATCATTCATATTAAACTGATAAGTCATTTTCACAGCAAATATGTATTAAAAATAATAATAATTTTCTTTAGTTCAACTGGCCATGTTCCACCATCCGCAAAGCACAAACGACTCAATTTTATAAGATGGTAGTTCGGTAATTTTATACTAGTGAAATGCAAACATGCTGATTAAATGTTTTTACAAAACAAAGCCGGGTACACATACGAAATTTCTATCATAAATACACGAGCATGTGTATGATAAAAACCTACGCAGGTCTAGTAGAGTAGTAGAGGCGTATTTATGGGGGAGGAGGCCCGGGCCCCTTCTGAAATGAAAAACACCATTGTTAAAGATTCTTATTTTTAACATGAATATGTCTTAATGCTGGGGGTTTCCGAAAATTTGTCATGACACTGAGAATGTTGCTTATGCGATAATTTAAAATTTTATATTTATAAAATATATTTATTCTATTAAAAAAATATGTGGTGAATTTTGAGTGACTCTAGTAAAAAATTTGTTTATTACAATATAGTTTTTATAATTTAAAAAAATAATAAATCATTAAAAAAATTGAATTTCTTATTTCACTAATAGTGTAAAAACCATCGAGAAATCATATAGTGTTAAAGTAATTTTTTTCGTAATAATGTGCTTCCTTCTTCCCTTCCACCCAAAAATCAAATACATAATCAGCCCCCTCCGAAATGAAAACTTATATACGCCACTGAGGTCTAGTACTTTTCTAAATTAAATGGGTCAGTTGATAGTAGTCGGAATATCTTTATTATTTTTGAGCTGATATTTGAAGGGCCCCCAAAAACGTCAACTCACAAGACGATAAAAAAAGTGCTTAAAAATTTGTAAAATATTATAATTTTTTAATGATATACAATTATTTTCAATGTTAAGTATATGATTAGCTGATTATTTATAATACTACAATGTTATATAAATAATTCAAATAATATCTTATTACTTAATATTTTTTTTTAACGATTAATAAATTGTAAAGTTGATTGTTTTCATAATGGTCATTTTTAATACTGTGTAATTTTCTTTTACCGGCCATTTACTAAACAGCTAAATAACATCCGGTTCATTGAAACCATGAAAACGCAAGTGTGTACTCAGATTGCCTAGCTCATCTCGTTCATAAATTTCTAGACTTATTCCACGTGTGCTCACAGTTGAGAACGGTCATCTTGAAACTTTTTCTCTTTTCATCAGTCGTTAACTACTACTTACTACTACTATTTTGCGATGGATAGAAACCAACAGCAATACGGACAACGCATGTTGATGAACGCTGCCAGTCGCCAATGCACCGAGTGCAGGCGTCACCCGGTTGGCCGACAGATGGAAGCAATCGCAGGACGCCGTTCGACTACGGAATACGTGTCGAACGATCGAGATAGACGATCACGTCCATATTCCGTCGAAAGAAGCAACCGCGGTTATAGTAAGTATAATAATAATGTTTTTCGTGCTAGGGATATTCGCAGGGACCATAGGTCAAGCGAAGTGCAGTGGATCAGCAAAAAACCTGAGTCGGGCAGTAGAGATACTTCCACGCCATCATTTCGACGGTCGTCGTCGTCACGGACACGGGGCGCCCAACCCGGAAGAACGCTGCTCGTACACGGGCTGGGAGGTGATATAAATTGCGATAAAGTATTCAATATGTTCTGTCTGTACGGCAACGTGACTGCCGTGAAAATACTCAAGAAAGGAAAGGTACTCGTCGAGCTAAATGACGTCGAAGCCGCCAAACGGTGCATGACCCACCTGCACTTAATGCCACTGGATCAACAAAAAAAGCTGAAAGTGAAGTAAGCGATCGATTTTGAAATGCTTGGATCATAACAGTCGAAGGGTTGGGGTATTGAATTTAAATGCTAATCCTGATCCTCATCATCTGTTAAAAAAAAAAAACATTTAAAATAATATTACACACGCCAAGGAAAATAAAAGTTAAAATTTGTGGTCCTCAGACGTTCATCGTCCTATGTCACTCGTACAGGTGTGTTTTCATTGCGTCTCGTGTTTGGTTCTTGTATTCTCAAATGTATTGAACGATATGACATAATATATTCAGCCAAGACAGAGTCTAAACCTTTTTTATTTTGAAATTTGAAATTCTCATTTTCATTCTTGTCGTCGATTACATGAGCACTTGAATAATTATTATATCTATAGACATCCCATGATTCCCATCGGACGTTTCAGATATTCCAATTTTTCTTATATACGCAACCAAGAAAAAGTCATCAGATTGTCGGACGGGACGCCGACTCAGAAATACTATGATACCAGCAAACTAAACAGGTTTTCGTACAAAAAAAAGTTTGTAAACGAGCGTCGAATCACAGCACCATCGAAGGTAAGTTTATATGTGCATTATAACGTTTAAGTTGACGCAATGGTATATTTCCTGAGAGGTTCGTAGTTGTTTCCCTTAGCTTCTTCTTTCAATCGCCTTTTGTTATTTCGGTAGATATGACAGGAGCAATTATTTTACTTTTTATTATAGATCTCAATCGAATAATAAATACAACCAAAAATATGTTAATTACGTAGAGTGATATAGTATGTAAACACTCCCTCGCCCCCACCCCACAAAAAATCCTAAATATATCATTGCGTCGATACATTGATATAATATAGTGGTATAATAAAATAGATTGAAACGGCCCAATAGATTTTGCATTTCTTCAACACACCGTTGGATATAAGCGGCTCGCAGATTCGCAGGACAGTGATAAACGCCCTCAATTGCAAGGACGCGGTTCGATCGATTACAATTCGTCAGTCGTTCAACAAAACACTTGATTTTCGTAGTGATTTTATTGTTTTTTTTTCTTTCAGTACCCCAAAAACAGCCCGGTGCTAAATATTCGACCGGCCTTTTGGAATTGAAAAGTGTTGACCTGGCGGCCAAAGTTATATTGTTGTTGAATCACACGCAACTAGAATCGTCGAGTATGTTATTGTTATCACCCTCTATACCATTGTTACGACATGTTTTGCGTAACGGTGTTATTAACTTTGTTGTCTAACGTTTGTTACTCGATGGCGTGTATGTGTGTCATAGGATCTAAATTCCCGTTCTTGATGAAATTATGTTTTTCAAAATGGTCAGAGATACGGCAAAAGTCCGGAGATTCGAGCGCCCTGATTTTCAACGCCACGCCACCCAACCCTCAATGGTTGTTCCACAGATATGAACACCGCGTGTCAATGGTGGAGTATAAAGTGTCACGGGTAACGCGAGGGACCGATGAAGACTGTCTCTGGACTCTATGGGATATAAGGAACCATGCGACGGAGGCCATTGACCCCGAAGCAAGAACTTCCGCAGATACCCATTGTAGACCTAGTGATGAGTCGGGTACGTTGCAGAACCCACAAACGGTGCTGTCAGGACTGCCAGTTGACGAGTGAACGTTCAGATATTTGTTTTTATTCATCCCTTTCGTGGTGTATCTCGTACTTGAACGTATAATAAAACCTCGTTCCCATGAAATGTGTTCTTCTTTACCTGATTATTAAAAAATGAAAAAAAAATGTTCTCCGATCTATTCATGCAGCTGAAATTGCGTATAAGATAATCTTTAATACTACTGTCTGTCACACTAACCTATATATTAATACACTGTATACAATTACATAATACACTTAAAGTAAAATCACTTCAGAGTACCGGGTGCGTGCTCGGAATGAATCAACGTAAAAAAATAATTTTATTTAATCGTTTTGGATTGATGTCCAACAAGCGATCAACACGATAGCGTGTCGATCTTTTTCTTACGAACGTTGACTATGTAACAGACAACGGGTGAACACTGGTCCTCGTAAATTTTTTTCACTCGAATTCTTCGAACACCTAGGGTAAGTGCGTAATCGATCGTCCGCCCGAATTATTGAAAAATTAAAAAAAAATGTTCTTTGATCTATTCATCCAGCTGAAATTACGCATAAGATAATCTTTAATATTGCTCCCATTATCAGGGACGGCTGCAGTAGAGGGGACCTAGGGGCCGCGGCCCCCATACTGTATTTATAATAAAAATTATATTGTTTACAAAAAATGCATATTATAATATGTAATATCATATGACACAAATACGTATGTAGATAAAGCCATGAGATATGACGGTTAAAAGTAGTTTCTCCACACTTCGGAGATTAAAAACCTGGATTCATTCAACGATTACTGAAGGTAGACTATCAGCATTATATCTAATTAATGTATATCGTAAAGTAGTTATTCTAGATCAAATAGATCATATTATTAATATTTTTGCCAATTTCAAAAATAGACGACTTGAATTTGTGTCGTAAAAATTGTTTTCTTTTTGCTATAAGATTTTGTAAAATTATAACTTGCCCCCCCCCCAACCAAGGCTCTGGAGCCGCCCGTGCAGGCTATCTGCCATACCAACCTACATACAGGCACCCTTGAGAAATATATAAATTTACATCTGTAGTTTTTCAGTTTACATATGCAAATACTTTTAAATATACGGACAATGTAAGTAATAAATGTTAATTGTTTGAATCAACAAAGTTAACTTATAATGTACTGGTGTGAAGTTATTCGTTTTAAATTTTTTTTTCAGCCATCCATTTTTATTGGACGTAAATTATCTATAATTCAATAACAATTGTTGTGATACGTTAATGGTTTTATCGATTATGATAATCATTCATATCAAACCGATAAGTCATTTTTACAGCAAATATGTATTAAAAATAATAATAATTTTCCTTAGTTCTACCGGCCATGTTCCACCGTTCGCAAAGCACAAACGACACAATCTTATAAGATGCTAATTCGGTAAGTTTTTACTAGCGAAATGCAAACGCGCTGATTACAGTGTATTTACAAAACGTAACCGGGTATACATATGAAATTCCTGTCATAAATACACGAGTATGTGTGTGATAAAGACCTACGCAGATCTAGTGATTTTCTAAGTTAAATGGGCCAGTAGATAGTAGTTGAACAATCATTATTATTTTACATATTACATAAATTTGCTACGAATGATCTTAGAAACGGCACGTCTTCCTGTGTCCTGCACATCATGGCGTTTAATATCCAATAACGCAATGCAGCTGAGACGCCTAATATAATATGTTTTAATGTTGTTAAATTCAATGGCAATCGTAGCAAATAAATTTGAAATGTGAATTTTATACGAATCGCTTCCCGATAATATTCAACAACTACACTGATTGCGTTCGATGTGAATACATTATTTTCCTTCCCGTTCGATGCAGATATAGGACCGTCTATAGCAACATTAAATATCATATTGCTAAATGTAGATTAAAAATATTACTTTTCAATGTTCCGTAATTGTTTACATAAAAAATATTGTTTTCATTGTTAATTCATTAAGCCAATTAAAATAACAAAAAAAAAAAAATGTTATGTTAAAATTTTATTATAATTTTATTTATGGATTGGTAAAAATTTGAATGATGCAGTTTTGATACTATCAAAACGTGTTTTTTCGTTCACGTCGTAAAGAATGATTTGGTTTCTTATAATTTCTCGTATTTCACGTATTATTTATAATACCATAATAAAAGCAATTTAATATATTATACTTCAGATTTTGACGTAAGTATCTTTTTGTGCGTTTTAAGTACGTAAGTAAATTTGTAGATATTTGGATATGCATAATAAAATATACCGTTAAATTTTAAATGGAAAACGTCACAGCGATTTGTTGTCCGTGTAATTGAACCTGAATAATACATTGCTCAAAAAGAAGGAGGAAAGCTACAATCGGGAGCTCGAATATATGTATAATAGGTATATAATCTGTAAATGATTCTAGATTTTCATTTTGTGTGAAAATTGATATTATATCATCGGTAAAACCGTCTAAATCTTCAGGTTCTAAAAAAAGTGACCTAACTAACCTAACTTACCTAGTAACTAGATAATCCTGAACTTCATGCGATGACACAAGAAATTGAAATGTGTAGTCAATTTTGGGACCCAAACATTACTTCGCATACAGATTAATAATTTACATTACATTTTCAATCTAAATGTGCCTACGTATGGAATCTTTTTTTGCGATAAGTTTTTGGTGATGCTCATGAGATGTGTAATGGATATAAAATGGGGATGTCACATTTGAGATCTAAACAGAATATTACATAGTAGTGGAAGTCACATTATTGCACACCGGGTAGTAATTACAGTTATATACCATTTGGTTTTATTTTCAGCAATTTAAACACCTCCAATATTTGGATTCTAGTTGCTCCTATGCCCGTGTGCACACCAATGATGAGTACTAGAGCTCTTAAAACACGTGTCACGGAATTCACGTGTACACGTGAAATACATGTTTATCCAAAATATATATCCATTTTTACAATGGTAAAATTAGTAATTTTATGTTATACACTTGAAGTTTTAATAAAATATTAATAGTACAGTATTAAGTTTAGGATATACGTTTTTATTTTGAATTTTACACGTGACACGTGACACGTGAATTCCGTGAATTCACGTGTATTAAGAGCTCTAATGAGTACACGTGTATTATGACTACTTATTACTATATGTATGTTCGCTGTACCTCCGAAGACGGTGCGTTTTCAGATGAAACATTATAATTTCGACGAAGAAAAACGCATCGCGGTTTCGAAATATAAACGATTCTTTAATTTTTTTTTCTTAAATATTTTATTACCTTTTCTTCGCTCGTTCATATCAAACAGTACATATTTTGCAAACGTTTTGTCGTCGAATGAAATATGTACAGAAAAAGTTTACGATTTATACGTAGTGCGACTGTCGAGCGTATAGTGCATCGAACGAGAGCAAAAGTGAAAAGTACGATAACAAATACGTTATTTTTCTAACAAAAGATCTATGAGTATGCAAGTATATACATACATTTATGTACATATCGGTAAACGATCGGAGCGAACGCTCTATGATGTTATGTAGTATAAAGTATTGGTAAAACGGTTCGTCATAAATTTGTAATATTATAATCCACAGAACCGTCGAAAAAGCAATTTTAAAACGAGATCGGAGGAAGTGCAACAACTCACAAAACTTGTGATGAATACATATAAATAGGTATATATATATATATTTATATATTTATATGGTTCGTTGAAAATCGTTTGGAAATTATTGTAAAAAAAACAAAAAAACGGAGAAAAACAGACAGAACTGAAAATTAAATAAAAATGTACAATGTTATAAAAACGAATATACATCCACTATAAAAGAACACATCACTTTAATATTCGCGGGATGTGTTGGTAACATTTTCAACAGCTTCTCTTTCCTATAATCATACTGCTAAATATGGAATGTGACCATCACATACTTAGCAGCAGTACGCACAATAAGAAGTGAGACGATTCATTTTCTTAAAAAAATTAACTTTAATGTACAAACACCATATTTTTAGTTAACGTATTGCCAAACACACCTATACCCTACACATATATTAATGATAATCAGGTCTCGTTATGTATACACATATTACATGTGTAGTATAACAAATATAACTATAAGAAGTGTAATATATAAATTTATTCATTTCTGCAGACAAAATGGCAGCATTTAAAGGCAAATTATTGATTTATTAATTATGTTTTCTTTAACTACCAAAACAAACGTCATATTTATGCGAGATAGATTTTTCTGCATTGAACGAAATTGAAAATAAAAAAAGGGAAAGATGAATTAGTGCCGAAAAGGAGTTAAGAGTCACCTTGTCGAAGATTTCATCACGTATTAATTAATATCATGTGTATCATGTAAGAAATATCAATCACAAATTTTTCATGAAAATATTAAATGCTGTTTTATATAATATGTATATTTTCTTTGTTATTTTTAAGTTTACATTATCAATTAATTATAAATATTTAATATTATCTATTATTATATTTTTTTTTATTGTGTGTCACAAAACATGAAAATTGTTAATAGTGTATCGCCATAATACAAAGGTTGAGAAACACTGATCTAAACGTTTAATATATTTAACAATCTAGCCGATAACGAAAACAATAATAATCCAATATAACCATTTAGTCCGTAATTCGGGTTTTCTTAATTCTTATTTATTAAATTAAATATTTTTATTAATGTAGCATAACAAACATCTAAAAAGTCCATAGATAACTAAAAAAAGTAATAAATAAGGGAAAAGCATTTACACAAAAAAAATTGGATTATTTGGAATCGGTATGCCATAAAATGAATTTATATATAAAAATTAGATTTTTATCTTGTATATATAAAAAGAAGCATTTGCTTTAAAAACCGAGCCCTAATTATTATATGTATACCTGGTTCTCGCTATTCCATTTTCGAAAAACTGGCATGTTGTAATATTAATTTTTTTTTTTCAATTGTTAAATCTTTTCGTTTTCGTTTTTCATTTATT